ATATATATATATATGTGTGTGTGTGTGTGTGTGTGTGTGTGTATGGTTCAAAAAACCCAATAGCTACTGTGGTGCCACACACCTTTAATCCTTATACTAGGGAGGCAGAGGCAAGTAAGTATATGTGAGTTTGAGGCCAGTCTGGTCTGTGTAGAAAGTTCTAGGTCAGTCAGGGCTACATAAAACATAAACTCTCACTAAACAAAGGAAAACAAAACAAACAAACAACAGCAACAGGAACATTAGCAGGAAAGAAAAAAAAAAAACAATGCCCAATAGTTGTGTTGAGCCATGGCTTGGCTGAGCTGTCTCCTGACGCCCTCCCTCCTGAGAGACAGTCACTTGAGACACATAGGTAGATGTTCCTTCTCAGATTCTCCTCTGGATTCCCATGGCATCTTGTACGTGGGAGTTGGCGTTGTTGGTGAGCATTAGAAGCATGGACATGAAGGAGCTTAGACAGCTGAGGTAGTGTGGATCCTGGTAGGAGCAAGCTCTCATGAGAAAAACTGCCAGTGCTCTTTCTGGTTTCCTGTCACTGTCTCCAAGGCAAGATAAGGATTTACTCCCACTGTTGCATATGCTTGCTTTTGGACTAAGACGGTGTTTTTATTATTTTGTTTACCATTCAGGGGTAACATGTAGTAGTGTATAATTACATTTCCCTTCTTGTACAGTTGATTTTCTTGGGGTTAATAATTGCCCAAATTTTCACTTGCCTAATTTCTTCAGGTATATTATTAATTTAGCCTATCTTCCTCAGTAGAAATTCAAGTCTATGCAGGAAGCTGAAACATTGTAACATTTGTGTGAGTTTTATTTTCCTCTTTTTCTTGGAACTGCTCTTTGGAGAGACTTAGGTTCACCTGTTTAATTTGAAGCAGGATTTTGCTGTCCCTTGGGAATTTTTTATTTCTGCCATCTTGGACTACTTCCTCCTGTCCCTCCCTCCTCCTTGTTAGTTGTTGAAGATCACATGCCTCTGAGTGGAGTCTCCAGTCTCTTGGACTAGTTAGTTTTTTCTTAACTTTTTGATAAGTTTATGGGTGGAGATGGCTTTGTGACCTTGAGTTTGTAAGCATGTCTTTATTTTCCCTTTCAAGTACTGACCAGCTTTGACACTGTTTAGCTTCTGAAGTCAGAGGAGGTTGGGGAGGGGGATGGCCATAGACGAACATGTCTGTCTTTCGTGCCACATCTGACTGTCAGTTTGGGTAGCTAACCGAAGTAGCAGCAGAACTTTGACAGCTTGCTCTGTTTTCTCTCTGCTGTAGTATGTTCATTCATTTGTGTGTGTCACTTACTTTCTGCATAGAGATTATCAGGTAGCTTTCTGGGTATCTCATTGTTTTGAAGTCTTACAGTATGTCCACTTCATGCACTCTTTTTGTAGGACACCCTGCTCTTTCTCTTGCATGCTTGTGTTCTCATTTAAAATGGATGTTTGTCTTCCTGCAATGATTGGTCATTTGATTATCTTTTCACTTCTTAACTTTTTAAATTTCTGCTTCATTTGGAAGCTTTCTTGTGTTTTCAGGTTTTCTATAGAATTTTATACTTTGCTCTATTATTTTATTTTTTAGTAATTCTTTCTTATTCTTTCATGTATTTTTACAGTTGCTCTGGTTTTATTTTTAATTTTTTTAAATTATAAAATTCCATATTTAAAATACGTTTGTATTTAAAATACAAACTTCCCTTTGTTTGATTGTTCCTCAGATTTCTCTGCTTTGTTACTCTGTTGTGTCTTGTGTGGGAAGTTTGCTGTGTGTATCACAGATCCTAGTGTACCCTTTGGGTTGGCAGTTTTATCTTAGAAGGAGGAATGCAGAGTCCTGAGCTGAATACTGATAGTTTCTTTTCTCATGTGAATCTCCATGGGGGAGGAGTGCTTTGGAGGAGCAGGGGATGGGAGAGTGAAATCTCTTCCTTTACTGCTTTTATGGAAGTCACTCGTATGTTAAGACACACTGGCTGGAAGGGAAGGGAGCAGAAAGGGTTATATAGCCAGTACATTGCATGCTCCATATTCTAGCTTCTCAATGCTTACAGACATCTTCTGTGCCATGCAGTTGCCTTTGCTTCTAAATTCATGCTTTGGTTCTGCTTAACTTGCTAGTTTACAGTTAGAGCATGGTTCTCAACCTGTGGGCCTGGTCTCCTTCAGGTTTTGAACAACCTTTTCATAGGGGTCACATAGCAGATATCCTGTGCATCAAATATTTATATTATGAGTCATAACAGCAGCAGAATTACAGTTAGGAAGTAGCAGTGAAAATAATTTTATAGTTGTGGGTCAGTACTGACCCACATGAGGAACTGTTAAAGAGCTAGAGCATTAGGAAAGCTTGAGAACCACTGACTTTAAGAGATAATGGGTTTTGCAGACTTCTGGACCTCACTGGTCATTTGAGTATATTTCAATTGTTTTATGAATAACTTAGGAACAAATTATGGCAATGTGTGACTTTCTAAGTTTGTTTTGGAAGATGCTTTGTATTAACTTCTGTGAGTTGTATCTGTAGTAGACTTTGCTTAGTAACAAAACACTTGAGGATTCAGTATCATAAAGCGGCAGTTGTTAACTATCGCTTATACATCTGCCAGTCAGCGGCTGAGGGTGGAGCCTGGCACGGTGGTGGTGCTGACCTCATTAAAGCTTGTTCACATGGCTGGGAGCTGTGACTGGTTGGGGTAGTTCTACTTCATGTCTTTCATGCTCTTATTGGCTCTAGTAGGTTCTCCTGGGGTGGATTTTCCCAAAGAGGTAGAAAGAGCAGATGTTCACAGAAGCACCTAAGCTATCTCCCTTTCTCAGTTGGATATGAGTGTGTGAGTGTGTGAGTGTGTGAGTGTGTGTGTGTGTGTGTGTGTACGAGAGTGCTGAGATGATACTTAGGACTGAACATGAAATTGGCACTTGTTCTGAAATCTAAGAGTCTCTGCAGGACCTTGTGCCATTGTAAGAAAAAAAAAGCTTCTGCGACCAAGGTTGAGAAGAGCACTGTCTCTGTGTCTGAGCATAAATGTTTAAAAGGCAGTTTGAGGGCTGGAGAGAAGACTCAGAGGTTAAGAGCAATGGCTACCCTTCCAGAGGACTTGAGTTCAATCACTAGCAACCACATGGTGGCTCACAGTCATCTGTAATGAGATCTGGTGCCCTCTTTGACCTGCAGGCATACATGCAGGTAGAACGCTGTATACATAGTATATTTTTTTCTTTTTAAAGGCTGTTTTATAACATGTCCACTTAGCAAGAAACACTAGTAGCATCCTCTCCACCTGGGTCTGTGATCTCTCCAGCTGTGAGCCTTTGACTAGGTTTATAGTACCAAGAATGTGGTTGTTGCGGCAGCTCATGCTGGCTGGATATGCTGAAGAGGCTGAGGTGAGGGGGATCAGGAGTTTAAGTTCAGCCTGGCAGTAACAGGTGGGAGGGAATTCCTTCCTGCAGAACGAGAATCCAGTCAGATGCAGTTAGTTACCTCTAACTGTCAGGCTGCTGTTGCACCAGGCAACAGGTCTTGTCCGGCAGGACCACGCATGCGTGGTCTACAGCTGGGCAAGGTTACTGATTATTTTTCTCCCAGTCTTATTATTTCTTAGTGGGAATAAAGCATTAGTGGCTTAATTCATCAGATCCCTTCATCCTATAATAAGGTGATATTTTAAAACGTCAGATTGATAATTCTCTTTGGCTTTTGAGATAAAAATTTGAAATGCAGCTGTCAGTGTCTGGCTTGTCAGGCATGCCTCACCTTTCTTCTGTGCTTCGTTGGCTGTATTGGCACTAGCCCTTTAAGAGGCATTTGTTGTCATGAGATGTTTTACACAAAACTCACTACCCACTTGGTCTCCTGAATCTTTGCCCTATTAGTTTGACATCCTTCCTCTGTGTCCACGTGACTCTCTGAGATAAGGAAAGCCTATGTTTCTCTGGTCCCCCTCCCATCCCTGCTCCAACCTAAATTCAAAGTTTCCAGGTGAGCTCTCACATATTCTTACTATGCAGTGGTATAAATTATAATCATATATCTGTGTCATTATTTTTCTCTTGGAACACTATATATCACATTTTTGTGGTAATAGAAACCTTATTTTTGTTTGTCACACTTTATCCAATACAAAACAGTGTTTAATCATAAGGAAACCTGCAATTTCAGAAGTGGCTTAATGTTAAAAATATGGCAAATAGTATTAGCAAGATACTGTCTTTTCTTGTGTTTGGATCTCAGAGATGTAAAATGTAGGAAAGTGTGTCACTGAACCACTGCAGTAGGTGTAAGGAGCTTTGTGAGAATTCGAATCCTAGCTAGTGCTAGAAAGGCATTTCTGGGTGTTGCCTTTGGAATATGTCCTCAGAGTTACTTCTTGTTTAGCTGGGCAGGTTGTGAACCAGATGAACAAGAAGCTACAGACAGGCTTTACCGAGTCAGAAGTCCTACAAATCTTTTGTGATACCTGTGAAGCTGTTGCACGGTTGCATCAATGTAAGACTCCCATAATCCACCGGGATCTGAAGGTAAGAACGGGGCAACACTTGTTCTACACTTCAAATTTAAAATGTCCTTTCTTTCTCTCCCTGCTCCTGTCACCTCCTTAAGACCCTGTATAGTTTGCTTACACATTATGCCTGGTATTTATTTTCTAACCTCTCTCACTAGAATAAGGTTCATGAGGCCTTTCGTATTGGTTTGTTTTTGTTTGTGATAGATGCATGTTCTTGAACAGTGCATGGCATATAGCAGAGGTTCACTCATTGTTTAGTGAATAAATAAGTGAATGCCTGTTTTGAATGATTAAATAAATTTTATATCTTATGATAAACAAAATAAAATGTCATTTAGAATATAGGTTGTTGATGGTCATGAAAGAAAATAAACTTTATTAGCATTTTAGTAATATAAATAAGAATAAAACCGAAAGTCATTGCCAATATAATAGTTATTTAACATATTCCAGACCGTGTTCTGAATACTTCAAGTGTTTTAACTCATTTTAACAACACTCCCAGGTCATCACTATTATCTTCCCTGTGTTTCTGGGTAAGAGAACCAGAGTAGGAGCAGTTAAGCAAATGGTGCAATGATTTAAACACTGGTAAACAGCAGCTGGCCTCCCTCTGAGCCTGTGTTGTAGTAGTCAAGACACTGGCATAGTCACAGTTTGTTTTAGTTGTTTTAACTATGATTTTTCAAATTAATGTGTAAATTTAAGATTGTGTTTTTCACGGTAGGGATTTTAAATAAAAATGATGATATAGGCTGAATCAGAAAAATCTACATTTGAAAATGCCACTTTCTTAAACTTTTTGAGACATGATATGGTAGTACTACGACCTGACCACATGCTTCAGGTTGCAGTTAGAATATTTTATAAAGTTGTCAGATGTAATATATAGGCGGATATGAAATATGAATGAATTTTGTCTTATTCTTGAGTCTGCCCCCAATATAAAAAAATAATTCCAAACCATTGGCACATCTGGTTTCAAGCAGTTTGCATGTGAATATTCAAGTTAAAGAAGGTAGTCAGAAATAGATTTTAATTTTTTTTCCACTACTCCTTGTCTGTAGGTGGGCTGATGTCTAGGGATGAAGAAAAATGGAGATACACTCAAAGAGAGTCTTGACAGCTCCCAGTTGTCCTTCAGAGAGGGAATTCAGGAAGTTAGGGTTGAGCAGGTTTATAAACCCTTCTGGCATCCTGCCTCTGCCTCCTGAGTTCTGGGGTCATCAGGGATGTGCCACTGCCTACTCTGGTCCATCTGTCTCTGGCTTAGGTGTCATCTATCTGTATGACGTGTATGTGTGTGTATCTGTATGTGTGTATGTACATGTGTAGGTGTATGTGTTGCATATATGTGTACCTAGCACCTGATCCCAAGAGGTTAAACAGATAACTTGAACTTTGAAAATAGTAATCATTGATTTTCTTTTCTTAAGGTAGAAAATATTTTGCTAAACGATGCTGGAAATTATGTGCTTTGTGACTTTGGCAGTGCCACTAATAAATTTCTCAATCCTCAAAAAGATGGAGTTAATGTAGTAGAAGAAGAAATTAAAAAGTAAGTTTTTATCTTTATTTTCATTTTGTCTCAGATATTTTGATTAACTTGAGTCTGTAGCTAGCTACATTAATACAAATTTTATATTAATCCATTTGTAGATTCCTTTAAAATGAAAATGATTAATATATGAATAGATAGTATAATAGACAGTTGATAAATATCATGACTGATTTTTTTTTTGTCTATGTGGTAAAATTAATAATGAAACACGTAGAGTAAGCTATAGTGGCTAATAGAACCATTAAGAGAAATTTAAGTGATTTAAATAGATTTATTGTGATATAAGTTGAAATGTTTTGCATGTGTGTATGTATGTAGTGCTTGTGGAGGTCAGAAGAGAGCATTGGATCCCCTGGAACTGGACTTACAGATGGTTGTGAGCCACCATGTTGGTTCTGCGAACTGAACCCTGCTCTTCTGCAAGAGCAAGAAGTGTTCTTAACCACTGAGCAACCTTCCCATTTCCTTAAGTGACTTTTGAATTCAGCATAGTGTCTTTGTCTTTACTGAAATGGGACAGTGGGTGCTTTTGAAAATGTAATTGCTTGAAACATGTTAGCTGTTGGTAAGAGTGTGAGTATCACATGTACTAAAAACTATAGGAAAAGTGTAAATGCTGAGTCTGTATGAAGTCATCTTGCTTTCAGGGGTATATTGCAAAGCTTTCTGGAAAAATACTGCACATGCTTTATGTCTCTACAGCCTGCATTTTCAGTGGTTGCCAGGGTACTTGTAAGAACCTAACTCTTCTGTTTTTTAGCTTTAGAAAATGGAACAGACTGTGTTAGAGCACTTCCTGAAGTGACACAGTTGACAGCAGTCTGTCAGAGTAGGGTCTTCTCAGTCTACTTCACCATAGGTTCTCAGTTAGACGAGGAGCTGCTGTCTGACCCACTTGTATAATGCAGTTACATAGGCAATATATAATAGAAACATATATTATAGACTACGTATTTCTACTCAGGAAACAGCTTAGAACGACTTAGTAGATTCTCTAAGAACAATCCCTCAGTAAACATACATACATGTCCTGTAGAACACAAGAATAGGGACATTGTATGTTGGTTTCTTGGGATTCATGTAATAAAACATCTTGTGGATTAGTATTTCTAGTGGCTGCTTGAAGTCTCAAGTATCTCTGATCTGCTAGATGTTTAATTTGTTGCATTGTGGGATATATAGTTTAGACTCAGTTACATTTTTATGATGATTGGAATATAGTGTGGTAAGCTCATTGAGAGTTCACATCCTTTGTGGCTCAGTTTAAGAGCGCTGATGGTCTCATTCTTGAGTTCCCAAGCACTTATTGAGTGCCAGCTCTGTTTTTGGTCCTGGGATAGAATGATAGAAAGTTCTGACATTATGAAGCTGATGTTCTGGTCCCTCTGCAGTAATACGTTCATAGGTCTCACATGAAAGAGTAATTTGGAAAAAGTAAGATGTTAGAATGTGATTAGATTTTTCTTGTAAGAGAAAGTGTATAAACACTAAAAAAGAATTTTTCTGTGATAGAGATTGTCTCTTCATACTCTTAGATTTCTGCTATGAGATTTGATTACTACTAGATTTGATTAAAAATTTCTGTTCCTAGTAGATGTGGGGTTTTTGTTATGAATATTGACTTATAGTGTCTTTCAATTCCAAAGAACTTAGGTTGGTATTCATATTAGAATTGGACATAATGTATATAATTGAGTTATAGTAACAAGATAACTTTTAAGAGAATTATAAAAACTCAGAACATTTACTACTCTGTGACTGGGTACACTACCATCTATAAACCAAACTCCTTGGGAAAGAGATGAAGTAAAAATTTGAGAATGCAGTTTTATTTTAATACATGAAGATATTTTGATAAGGAGGCTGTTAGAGTTAACTGAATTATTTCATATAAATCAACAAATTATTTCCAATAGATTGTCATTTAAGTTTTTATTAATAAAGGAAATTCAGCTTTTATATAATTATTGATAATATTGCAGTTATTGAGTAAAAGTGTCTATGGATACTTTGTTTCATTTAGTTCTTGATAGATTTTAAAAGCAGTATCATTTCTATGTATTTCTGAATCCAGAAAGCCTTTTAGGTTGTGTTTTAGAGAAGCCTGTCTTACCTGTTTTTTAGTTTTTGAATGTATCTCCTTTGTTTAATTCTTGTTGCCAGATACACGACTCTGTCATATAGAGCCCCAGAAATGATCAACCTTTATGGAGGGAAACCAATCACCACCAAGGCTGATATCTGGGTAAGGCTCAAGGCTGTGCTTGGTTGTAGCTGAGTCTGAGTAGAGCTGCCTTCTGTGCTTCTGCCTCCCAGAGGCATTCTTTCCTGCATTCAGAATACTGGGTTGCTTCATCTTCTAAGGCAAGAGATGGGATGCCCTTGTTGAAAAGAGGGGATACTTGTAGGTAATGTAGCTGCCACAACAGCCATTTTTTAGAGTTTAGATTATAGGTGAATGCTTACCCTTTTCAGTTTTGAATGAGTGGGATTTTGACTGATAGCAATATAGAAAATGTGGATCAAACTGTTAAGCAATTACACTATAGCTTTCTGAAATATTTTATGATTTCTTGAATGGAAACTAACACAAGTAAACTTTCTCAAATTCTAAACGTGTCAGTAACTACTCTTTATTGAGGTCCTGATTTAGTATATATTTATCTGATTTAATTATACCAACAGTTAGTGTTAATGTATAGAAAAAAACCTGTTTAGAATCTCACATCTCTTTCAAACTTGTAAGTAAAATACATTTTGGATTGTATTTACTAGTCTAAGAAACTATCCTAAACAATAACTGTTAGTTGCATTTGCACAAGCGTATTATCAGAGTACATTTTTTTAAAAAAAATTGTAGAACTTACAAAAGAAATGAGATAGTTTTGTTTTTTAACTTTAATTAAAAGCTATCTATTTTGTGTATAAGGCCCCATGTCACAGCATGTGAGTGGAGGTCACAGGACAACTTTTAGAGGTTTATTTTCTCCTTAGAGCTTGGATTCCAACTCAGGTGTCCAGGGTTAGCAGGGAGAGCTTCCTTGACTGAGTCACTTTGCCAACGCCACGTGTGTAAGTGTAAGCCAGTGACTGTCTGCCTGCTGGTTCTCCTAGCCTGCTCCCTCCTGGAGTTTGGGAAGCCACTGAGAACCCAAGAAAGAGATGGGAATCGTCTCATCTGCTTATTGCAATACATTTATGTATTCATTCATTCATTTATTCATTTATTCAGTTTTTTGGGCACTGATTCTTAATGTAGTTGAGTTTTAAGCTTTGTAAGATTAAACTAAATTAGAAGAAAATTTGCTTTAATTATTTTGACATTGTGCCAGTCTCTGATTCATGAAATTTCCCGTCCTTGACATTAACATTGGATTGATTTGATAACTTATAGCAATGTTGATGATTATGTGTAATACAGAGCACAGAATTAGTCGTATATTAATCTATAAAGTGACATTACTACAGGAAGTGACTGTAGAGATGTTTCCTGGCCTACTTTTCTGACTCCTTTCAGTTCCACAGTCCCTGAGCTATCTCTGCAGCGGCAGAAAGCAGCTTCCCTACTTCTGGTGATTTTATTTTTTTCCTGAAGCACAAAGTTATTATCTAATATCTTATTGCAAAATATAGGACTATTCTTCATTTGTCACTTTTAAAATAAGATTTATTGTATGTGTGAATAAGCACATAAAGATTTAAAAGAATAAAAGAGTCAACATAGTGTCTGTTCCACGTCCATGATGAGTGTCTGACGCTTGTTGCACGCAGCACAAATGGAACAGAAAACCCCTACATTTCAGGTGTGAGTCTGTTCACTTGGATCAAAACTTGTTATTTGCTGATTCTGTTTCAAGAAAATATGCCAATTAAAAGAATTACAATGTTCAGGTGAAATAGTCATATAACATATTTTGGCAGAAATGTTTTTTCCTCTTGAGAGTTTCCCTTATTTTTATTCTGACATCTAGGATGCTGACTAGAAATGCTACATTAATGTTTCGTGCAGAAAATTGAATATGATGATGGCCTTAAAAACCAGCCTTCTGGGTCCTTCTTGTTTCTTACAAAATTCACATTGTGTCAAGTGACTAAAGATGAATTTGCTGTGTTTATACAATGCAAAGTATTTCACTCTTTTTTTTTCCACCACTCCTTTTGTGGGGGTGGGGGTCATGTGTTAGGAAGCACTGCTCGTCTGAACTGCATCCTAAGAGCCCACAACCTTCTTTTAATGTTAGCTGCCATTCCTAAATTATGTGTGGACTCTCACATTTAATCTAAACCAAGAAAAATGTCCAAGATTTGATTGGCAGGATAAACTTGGTGGAAGTTCTGGTGTCATTTGTATTCAAGGTCATCTGGATGGTGGGAAGATGTAATTGAATGCAAATATTATGCCTTCACTCGTATTTTTACAGATGTTGACTATGAATCTTATGTTCAGTTTCTTGTGATATCTTCCCCATAGAAAAATAGCCATCATTACCATTTTTAACCATATCAACTGGGTATTTTAGTGTTAGTGTCATTACAATTTTAGTAATCATATAAAAGCATATAGATTTTCAAGTAAAGGATTGGAATTTCTAGAGCTTTGAATTTTCTTTACTACAAGAGTGTTATAATTGAAAATATTTTAAAATTAGTATTGTGCTTAAAAAGGTTTCTGTACATTGGAGTCTTCATAGACATAAAAATACTTGTTAGTTGTGGATGATGAAATAAATATACAGGAAAATGTAACAACAGAAAGCTTATCTGCTAGTATTAGCCATAGTGCTGATGTAGCTGTGTGCTAACTGTCGGATAACTTATTTAGAATTCGAAATGCCCCTTACCCTTGTGACCTGAAGTGTTATCTTTTGACAAAGTGATAATTTTGTGAACCAGAAATCCTTTTTTCTTTCTTATTTTAAAAAATTGTGTCACAGGTTTGAACTATGGTAGCTTAGCTGTAAATGTACTATGCTTATTTTCTAGAAAAAATTTAGAGTATTTTACCTTCATATCAGTAGAGTGACTTATTGATGCTGTGAGGTTTATTTTATGAACTCATAAATTTAGCAGACAGAGCCTTTCTTTTTGATGCTACAGATTGGTATAGAAAAATGCTTAGTATTATATAGAGAACAGAATTAAATTTAAAGATTGTATGTGTGTATGTGTGTATGTGTGTGTGTGTGTGTACCATGTGTGTGCTAGTACCTATGGAGACTAGACAAGTTACGAAACTTGTAGTTAAAGGTGGTTGTGAGGTTCTGACATGGGTGCTGGGAACTGAACTCTCGTCTTCTGCAAGAGCAGCACATGTGAATTGTTGAATGATTTCTCTAGCCCCAGAGAGTTAATTTTTTAATTACATCTAACTTATTTTTTGCCTTTGTGTATGTGTGGAGGCTAGAGAACAATTTGAAGTCCCCTCTTTTCTTTTCAGCACGAGTCCTGGGCATCATACTCAGGTTGTCAGAGTTGTCGGCACGGGCCTTTACTCATCTTGCTGCTCTATGAATTAATTTTTATGTTATGAAATGATGACCAGTAAAATTTATTGTTGGTTGTCTTAACTTTGATGGACAACTTACTTATATTGTGAATAATAGGATTTAAAACATGTTTTATAGTGAGTTTTAAGATAATTTGTTAAAAATCAGCCTTAATTAGAGTTTACTATTGCTGTGATAAGTACCATGGCCAACAGCAATTTGTGGAGGAAAGGATTTATCTTATCCTCCAGCTTATATGTTCATCACTTAGGGAAGCCAGGGCAGAAATGTAGAGGCAGGAACTGAAGCAGAGACCACGGAGGAATGCTGCTTCTTGGCTTGCTACCCACGGCTTGCTCAGCCTGCTTTCTTATGTCACACAGCACCACAGTGGGCTGGGCCCTCCCAGGTCAGTCACTAATTTTGAAAATGCCTCCATAAACTGCCTATGGTCATCTGATGGAGATATTTTCTCAGATTTAGCTGTGTCAAGTTGGCAGTACTAATAAGGAAAGTACCAAGTAGATGCTATTTCATCCAAAAGGAACCAGCCAGGTTTATTTTCATTACTCATGATACAGAGAGAGCAGCTTATCTGATTAAAGATGCAGCAGAGAAAGATCGGACTAAGGGCTTTTAAAAAACATTAAAACATGTTAACTTGGTTAAGTGATCATTTGATCTAAAATAGGAAGATGTGCCGTGTTTGTTCTAAGTGGCATGCGTAGCTTTGGTTTTCTTGGTGGTGGTGCTGCAGGCCGCGCTCTGGCCAGGCCTTACATATTTAAACAAGTGGGCTGCCGTCTAGGTTCAGTCCCAGCTCTGGTCGCGGCTGTTTTATGTTCTGTGGCTGACTGCTGAGCACTAATGATGTTCCCATGTCTTTGTTTTGCAGGCCCTGGGGTGTTTACTGTATAAACTGTGTTTCTTCGCTCTTCCTTTTGGAGAGAGTCAGGTTGCTATCTGTGACGGCAGCTTCACCATCCCAGACAATTCCCGCTACTCCCATAATGTACACTGCTTGATTAGTGAGTATTGGAAAGATGGATTAATACTGCTGTCTCAGATACTGTTCTTTAAGGCCTGCCATTTATATTTTCTTAAATCTATATTTTTCATTTCATATAATTTTATAAACTATAATAAAGATATTTAAAAATGGTTATATTACCTTTATAGAGGAGAAAGCAATATAATTACTAATGAGTACAAGGATATTCTTAACCTAGATAAGGTTTTTGTAGCACGTGGCAGCAATTACATAATTAAGGCAGCCAGAATTCCTGGGGACGCTTATTATAATAACCTTTAATTGTTCAGGTTTTGTATTTTTCGAAACCAGATATCCATGTAGTTAATAAATAACCAGATTTCCTTTCAGGATTTTTAAGGGCCTTTGCTTCCTTTTACAAAGAGACTGTAATTTAACATTTTGTACATGTATATCATAAAATTTCAGAGAAAGATCTTTGAGAGAAAGGACAGCCATTAGACAGTAAACTCTGTTAGGGCAGTGCTCAAGTAGCTTCCCCTGACTAAAGCATTGCAACTTTCTGTTGTGCACTTTAAACACTCTCTTGTGGCCTCTGTGGCAGAGAACAGAGTGTACATATGATAAAGATAGCATTTAAACTTAGCGAAGAAAATAGTTAGAAATAGATAATTTTCTTAGCCATTCGTGAACAAAGATAAAGCAAAGTCTTCCATTTTTTTCTGTTAAAACATCACATAAATATTTAAATGTAAAGAATAAAATATATGCTGAAAGAAAATAGGCATGAATTTAATCATACATATAGACTATAGAAAATGTAGGCAGCCAACCTCAGGAGTTATAAAACATAGCCCAGTGTCATAAAACTTTCTGTCTTTAAGTCTGCCAATCTGGCTTGGGTGTTGTGGCAAATACCTGTAATTCTAGCACTGGAGAGGCAGATGCAGGAGAACACAGTGAGGGTCTGGTCACTCTGAGTTACAATAGAAAGACTGTCTCAATAAAGCTAAGGGCCAAGTGCGTATTGCTTAGTGGTAGAATGCTTGCCTAGTAGGCACATGGCTCTGGGTTCATTCTTGATGTGTATTTGAGAAGTGGCCAGTGGTCCTAATGCACAGCCTTCTGTAAACCAAGGAGAAGGGCTCCACAGTAAAACATCAGTCGTGATGTCCAAGAGAAAAGGGGAGTTAAATGATGTAGTGTGACGTACAAACATTTAAAGCACAGAATTTCTGTGACACAGAGTTGCTCAAAGGTACTGGAATTTGGGGAATTATGTCATCTTGATACACAAAGTACTTTGTGTCCTCCAGAATGGATTTCCTGGGCAAGGGGATCCAGCATAGTGGAGAAGCGGGCACAGGAAGCAGCTGAAGCTTGTTGGCATTTAATATGTGTGTGTGTGTGTGTGTGTGTGTGTGTGTGTGTGTGTGTACGCGCGCACGCAAGTGCTTGTGCTTGTGTGCTGTGTTCTTGCACAACTTGGGTCCTAGAATCCTGAGTAGGGTAAGAAGAGAATGAAGAAGCCAGACATCCATACAGAAAACGAGACCCAGTGGTTTGGACTCTGATGGTTCTCCATCAGAGCCTCAGCCCTCTGGAAGCTCACTGAACAAGGAGGCAGTCTTCATTGCCATACACATTGGTCCAGGGGTGGTGAGAAAAAGCTCCAGTGCGTGTTTTCTGGATACACCATCAATATTTACATTCTGCTATGAGGAAGGCTTTGCAATCCCTCTGAGCCTCACCTGAGGACAGCTTTGCCACTCTCATGGGGCTGAGGCATTGAGGTCCTTGACATGGCAAATTAATACTATAGCTGGACTCGGGGATACAGGACCTCAGCACTCATGGAAATACCATGATGCATGTTTCTTCAGGACTTCACTTGCTTTCTACACTTGTACTTAGAGTTTTGTTTCCAGAGAGCTCCACATCTGTTTTGTAGCTCTTCATACCTGTGTATTGATGTCAGCTCTTGACTTTAATCTCCGTGGTTAAGCACCGGGCAGCATTGCTGTGTGTGTTTTCTCATCTGTGCCAACCCCCAGTCAAATTGGAGCTGCCTGTCTGGGCAGTCTTAAGTCATCGTCCTAGGTACCCAGGAGTAGGCTTGTCAGTCTCTAAGGACATTACTCCAGCCTTACCTTTTCAACAGGAATTCTATTTTAGTGAACTATTTTGTAGAATGATTTTTAAATTAGCAGACATAATTCCATGTATATTTGAATAGATATTAAATTCTTAACCTTCTCTATCTTAGAATGTTCTCAAAAAATTCAGAACAGTAGAAGCATAAAGTAATTCCTATTAATCATAACGCTTAAAGATTAGAGTATGGAATTTGGTTGCTATGGTCTCTGACTAATTGAGTTTTAATGTTTTGTTACAGTCAATTTTATAAATTATTGTAGCTATAATTGTTTTGTTGCTAAGTATAATGTTTTAGTAATAATTGAATGTACAGTTTCAGTAGGAATCTTGAAATGTCTTAGAGGCTCAGAATGTTCTCATTGACTAATTCTATGTGGAATACTGAGCAGCTTATGCATTGAAATGTGATTTTATTCCTAAGCAGTATTGAATTTCTCTGTGTTTATGTGTGACACCCATATGTGTGTGGGAATGTGTTTGTGTAGTACTGTGGTAAACATGCTAATGCTGTTGATAATTTTAGGTTCAATTAGAGTTTAATTAATTGCTAGTGTACCATGTAACATATGCTTCTTTTATTTGACCATAAATATGAAGATTTTAGTACTGCTACCCATTTGACCATGCCAAAAATGAAAAGGATTAAGTAAACTAAAAATATAAAGTAAATTTGGAATTATAATACACCTGTAAGTTTTAAAACAGGCCAGTGAGATGGCCCAGTGGGTAAGAGTGCTTGCTGAGCAAGTCCAGTACTTTGGGGCCTTGTGCAGAAGCCACCGTGGAAGGAGAGAACTGAGTCCTCAGAGTTGACCCTTACTGCACATTTGCATGATCACAAACCCACAGACATGCCAATACACAGTTGTAAGGTCTAGTAGTTTACCTCTTTGTCAAAAGTTTTTTAGCATTTATTATTTAAATGCTATAGTGAAGTTCAGAATTTGAAAAACCAGCATATACTTATTTATAATGTAATGCTAAGAACCAATATGAATTCTTTGAAATCTACTGTTATATCTTTTACATGTAGCCTTGCCTGCTTCTCATTGTCATATTTGGTTGTTTCTGTGTTTATAAAATGGAGTTAGTGTTTTCATTGCTTTAAACTGAGTCCTACATTCAGAAAACCAAGTGTTGTGTATCTGTACTTTCATGGTTTTGAGTTTCAAAGTTTTCAGTGCTAAATTTTAGGTATTCAGTAATATACTTTTACATAATTAGTTGTAGTACTAATGCTATTTGTATCTATCTGATGTCACTCTGAATGTTTGAATTAATTTATCATGAGTTATTAGCCAGTTTCCTAAAGCTGTGTAGTTTGTGGTTATATAGGTATTTGAGTATACTCCTTTTAGCAGCATTCCAGAAGGAGGAGTTGTGACTGTGTGTTGTTGATAAAACTGCTTTTATTAGTCCTATCTTTCTTTCCTGTAGACTTTCCTTACAAGCAGCAGTCTTGGTTTGATTCCTGTTAAAAACATGATGTTGTTGCCATGAGGGTGAGGAGCAAGCACTTATATTTTTGAATCTAAGAGTTGAAAAGATGGTCAACAATGGAGAATGAGAAACATCAGTAACCCCAATCCCTGTTCCTTCCCTTAACCCTTACTCTTACCCTCACACTAACACTAACCTGAACTGTATCCCTTATTCTTACCCTAGCCTGAACCCTAATCCTTAACCTTACCCTAGCATTCACCCTAAGCCTAACACTAATGCTTTGCCTTACCACTACCCTAAACATAATACGAATCCTAACCCTCATTCAAACACTCACCCTAACCCTAACACTTACCCTTATACTTACCTTTCCCCTTACCTTAACCCTATCCTCACCCCTACCTCTGTCCTACCCTTACCCAACCTCTACCAAATTTAACCCTACCCCTAATCCTAACCCTACCCCACACCCAACCTCTACCCTATGCCCACCCCTGTCCCTACCCTAACTCTACAACTATACTGTACCCCTAACCCTACCCCATTTTAATCTTACCCTTACTTCAGCCCTACCCCTACCTGAGTAGTTATGGAGATAGACAGGGCCTGCTTGCTTCACCCTCAGCTTCTTTCTTATAAAGTGGTCATGGACATACAGATGTATAGCAGGGGTTAGTAAAACCTGTGGAGTCCATCAGACTCAGTTATACCTGAAGTTGCTTATTTGCTGTAGAACATTGGGTACCTCCATCTGTCTCAGTCTATGATTCTAAAATGAGCCTACTAAAGAACATGGGGCAACACTCAATTGACACAGCAGGTTTTACACACATACATGATTGAAGAAGATATGTCTAAGAGGATGTCAGTGGGGAGAGGGTTTTTTTAATTGGATATTTTATTTATTTACATTTCAGATGTCATCCCCTTTCCCCATTTACTGCCCCCAGAAACCCCCATCCCATCCCACCTCCTTGTTGCTTTTATACCATTTTAATTACATGCAAGTATTAAAGTCAGTTCTAGGTTGAGGAACTAGCAATATAATAGGTGCAAATAGTCAAGGAACAAGCAAGACAATAAACACAAATAGTCAAAGAACAAGCAAGGCAATAAACAAAGTCTCGTGATCACTCCTGTGATCACCGTTTCTAAGGGCTTATCAGGATGACCAAAATATCTGAGTCATTTTTGTGTCTGAAGCCTACTTCCTTGTTCTAGCCTAAAATTTAGATTCCTGTCTGAAATTACTTCTTTGTTCTACCCTAATATTTAGATTCCTGCCTGAAATTACTTTGTTCTAGCCTAATGTCAGATTCCTGCTGGAACCCCATTTCCTTGTCCTTGGCCAATGTCAGATTCCTGCCGAGCAGCTCCAAAAGCTCTCTACATTTCCCCCATTTTTATTTCATAAACAAGACTGAGTCTATCTTAGGT